AACATATTACAGGGGCAAGAATACAGTTACAGTGGCAAGAATATAGTTACAAGGGCAAGTCTATTTAACATATTACAGAAGCAAGAATACAGTTACAGGGGTAAGAATACAGTTATAGGGGCACGAATACAGTTACAGGGGCAAGAATATAGTTACAGGGGCAAGAATACAGGGTCAAGTCTATTTAACATATTACAGGGGCAAGAATGCAGGGGCAAGTCTATTTAACATATTACAGGGGCAAATCTACAGGGGCAAGTCTTTTTAGCATATTACAGGGCCAAGAATACAGTTACAGGGGCAAGTCTATTTAACATATTACAGGGGCAAGAATACAGTTACAGGGGTAAGTCTATTTAACATATTACAGGGGCAAGAATACAGGGGCAAGTCTTTTTAACATATTACAGGGCCAAGTCTATTTAACACCACTGAGTAAATGGTTATCTCCTGAATTGCCGATATACCAACAAACTGGAGATGGTTTTGGCGATTAAATTTTGTCACCAAATGTGGTGACAAATTGCCAAAAGTTGCCAAACGCTGGGACCATCTGGAGAAGTTTTGGTCTGGTCCCTGTATACCTGTAATGGGTATCATGATTAAATAAATGTAATTGATCCCCTTATGAAACTGTAACCGTATACGGCCCTCATATACTTTCTAGTTTCTTCGAGAAGTGGAAGGTACTAGAAGTTTCTCTGCGACGGGCGGAAACTGCAGTTCTTGCATCCCGGAGAGAGCGTCAATTTCTTTGTTCTTGAGTTCAAAGTTGTGCACGGGATATTGAGAGATTTCTGTGTGAGCTTCGCCTTTCACGTGCGCTTTGCATTAGGCTGTGGTTAACGTTCTCAGTCGTTTTAAGTGTAACTATTGGTAAAATAAATTTTATCAAGCTATCATCGGCTCTATGTGCATTCAATCCAATAAGAACCCTACGCACGCAACAACGCAAAGATTAATAACACTTAAGTATATACATTTTTAAAAAGCTAATCATCTTATGTGAACAACATGTAGTCTATGCAATGTTCAGCAAAACTGTCAACTAAACCAACAATGGAAAGCAGTTACGTTGTGCCAATTATTCCTAATATGAAGATATGAGAAGCCAATGTAATTAAGTAACTATTCGGTCTATAAATGATCTAAAGACTTGGCTATAGCTATAGCAAGGCTAATATATTACAGGGTTTATTCTTGTACGACATTTTTCAGGTGGTGTTAAGAGTACTTCAAGTCAGCTCGGGAGTTTTACTTTTGCTCTATCGGCGTTTTGTTGCGAGATTCTGTAATAATGCCAACGCTTTAGGGCCAAATTTCCAAAAGAATATTTAATCAGTAATAAGACCATGCGTTCAATGGTCAGTGGTCTTATATGGAATAACGAACATCTATTCCGCTTGACAGCAAGTACAGTATGTGCCACTGAATGTAATCGCGTTTGTTTACGGCTATTTTGATAACATTATAAACGATGAGACAAAAATGTCCTTCAAAACAGCGATAAAATATAATTAATTCAATATAAATATAACAAAAATATATAAATAGGTACTTTCGAAACATTTTAACAAAAAGATACAAAAGTTTGTTTATGAGCTTCTCATAATATTGTTTATGAGCTTCTCATTCATTTATGATCTGTTCATATAATTTGTGGAAATTGTTTGACCGATGCTGTTCCCCTAACCTTAATACTCGAAGGGCGTCCCTCACTGGACGAAAACACTCCAATCTAAAATTTTAAATCAAGGGGAAAAGTAACCTTAGTTTGACACAGAAGTTATCAAGTCTGTCGACTCTTCTTTTCTCTTGAAGAAGAGGAACCTGTGTCTGATCCCCTCAAAATCGATACAATTATGAAAAAATCTATGTAAAAGTAAGTTTTCTTTCGGATTGATTTTTTAAATGGTAATCAGTTGTGTATAGTCTTTGACTAGTAGGCTTAGTTTAACTTTTGAATTTGAATTTTACATCGCTAGAACCGCCCAGTCCGCTTAATGGTTAGTTACACTAATTGCGATACCGGTTGGGTCCAAGTTCGAATCCCTTACAAAGCATGCGTATAGTGTCAGTGCGTCAAGGGACCACTTAAAATAATCGGTAAGCCAAAACTCCTCTCGAGAAGATGGTGGAGGGAAAGAGAGGTGGCAGATCCTTTGACCGCTCCTTCCCGCGGTGTTCTTTCTTAATACCTGGGCAGCAACTTAACCGCTAGCTAGGTTCAGCAACCCTTGTAGTTACTACGGAAGTGTTGGCTTAGCTTGTACCTGTTGTTCTTGTGTTACATCACCACAAATGGTGGCTGATTTTGTATGCACGAGATGTGCCTTTTTTGTTCAAGTTCGGATTTAATATAAAGGTTACTTTAGCCTTTTCGAATCTATTTCTTTAACTTCATACACAGCGATAATTCGATTGAAATCTGTTAAGAGTTTGATGCTATTTTATGCTGCCAAAGCAAGTCAAACTTTGTAAGAAAGAACAAACAAAGAAACATAATTAACTGACCCTTACAGTTACTTTTTAAGGTCCGAAATTAGGCTTAATAGCAAAACGTTTAGTTAGTTAAACCGTTTTATAAGTTGCAGTTTATGTATGAAAATACTACAATGTTGAAAAACTAAAACATTTAATTTTTTTTAGCGCAGCAAAAGATACATAAAATTTCAATTATATAAAATAGGAAAATCTGTGCTTGAGTATCCAAATTAAATTCTGAAATAAATTTGACAGTCAAAACAACATATTACGAAAACAAAAAATAAGAACATTCATTCTATGACTTTATTTTAAAACGTCTGTACAATCTAAACAAGTACAAAATAAGTAATGGCCATTCAGTCTTTGCTGTGGCAAACAGCAAGTACGTGAAATCAAAGAATAAATGCAAACTTTGGGCTCAGAGATAACTAAAATACAATACAGAAAGTTTGTACATAAATAGACAAGAGTTCGAAAATATCTTTTGATGAAACAATGTTGCATTGATGTCTTCAGTTCACAAATTAAAACCTCTCCACAAAATACACATATGGAAGATAAAAATCAGGTTACATATTTCATATAGATTACTCCGAAAGAAATACAGAATTTGCCTAAAAGAAATAAACAGAATTTTTTTTTTAATCTGAAAGGTTTCAGATTTCACATTACGGTCAAAGGGGCGTTTTATTAACGTCTTGTGTGTAAACTAGCGTCTACATCTCAAAACGGCAGCCTATGAGACAGGCGATTCTATTATTTTCATCGGGGGTTTTCTGAGGAACGCCAACGGCAGTGCACGATGTTTGCTTACATTAGGAAGTTCAGAAAATTGCAAAGGTGGATTGCCTTAGTTTCTGCGGTTACTTTCAGAGAAATATTAGGCAGTTTTTTTTGGTTTGCTGATAGAGGGCAAATAGATAATTTACCTTTATAAAAAACAATACATCGATAATTAAAAATATTATTTATAGTTCATTATTAAAAACTTTTTATAAATGCATAGTTATCACATAAGTAACAATTCATCCATGCATTATCTCATTATTTATTATAATTAGAAGAGATGATATTTTTTACAGTAATGTTTAAAATTTTGCTGTTGTCCTTTAAAAGATTTACAAGTCTTAAGATTGAGTTCTGTTGTGTTAAATATATTCGCTTCATCTTAAATCTTCTGAAGTTTAAATAGATAAACGCGGATTATAAATGTACTGTCGTTGCATTCCTCAGAAAACCATTCTAACTCCCCTACTGCCCGATGAAAATAATAGAATTGCCTCTCTCATAGGCTGCCGTTTTGGGATGTAGACGCTAGTTTGTGTGTAACCTTCACCTTTATTCATTAAATATCATATTCTCCGAACTTAAACCATAAAATTCAACAGTAATATCGCAATTCTTTAGAATTTTCGATATTTTGTCTCGCACGCTGGAGACAAAAATGTTTTTCTTTTTTTTTTTTTTCGGACGGTGTTGCCATTCCTCGTTTTGAAATCGTTGAGTTCGTTAATCAAAAATTCGTTGAAGTTTTACAAAATATGAAATAGGTAATACAACAAATTTCAAATTCCAAATTTGGGCTTCGAGATGCCCATATTCGGGTGGAAACGTACGTTATTCAAAATTGGATGACTCTAGGTACCGTTGTTTTATAACACTACGAGAAACATACATACATTTATGCAGATTTTTCATTAATTAATTACTTTAAATATAATACAGGGCTGTAATATTTGATGGCAAAGTTTGGAAAGAGAAACGCAAAATGCCAAAACGAAATTAATAGCTCTTCTGGGCTAACGTCCTTTGGGCTAATAAATAAAGAATTAGACAGATGCTTGTAAATCAAAAAGTGGGTTTTCTCTCTTTTTGATTAAAGAGATATAATAGAAAGATAAATAGATACATAATGAGAGAGATAAATAGATACATATAGAGAGAGATAAATAGATACATATAGAGATAGATATAGATACATAGATATATAGATATTAGATATAGGTATAGATAGATAGATATATCAGAAATAAAGCTAATAAATAAAGAATTAGACAGATACTTGTAAATCAAAAAGTGGGGTTTCTCTCTTTTTGATTTGAGAGATAAATAGATACATAATGAGAGAGATAAATACATATAGAGAGAGATAAATAGATACATATAGAGATAGATATAGATACATAGATATATAGATATTAGATATAGGTATAGATAGATAGATATATCAGAAATAAAGCTAATAAATAAAGAATTAGACAGATGCTTGTAAATCAAAAAGTGGGGTTTCTCTCTTTTTGATTAAAGAGATATAATAGAAAGATAAATAGATACATAATGAGAGAGATAATAGATACATATAGAGAGAGATAAATAGATACATATAGTAGAGAATAAATAGATACATATAGAGATAGATATAGATACATAGATATATAGATATTAGATATATAGATATTAGATATAGGTATAGATAGATAGATATATCAGAAATAAAGCTAATAAATAAAGAATTAGACAGATGCTTGTAAATCAAAAAGTGGGGTTTCTCTCTTTTTTATTAGAGAGATAAATAGATACATAATGAGAGAGATAAATAGATACATAATGAGAGAGATAAATACATATAGAGAGAGATAAATAGATACATATAGAGATAGATATAGATACATAGATATATACATATTAGATATAGGTATAGATAGATATATCGGAATGTATTTAGTAAGTTTTACAGGGAACATCTTCATGTTTATGACCCCATGCTTGTGTTTGCTTTCGTTATGTTAACATCACGTGAGTGCTGTTGAAATCAATTAACAATATGGCAGCTAATCAGATGAACAAAATTGTTGTTGTGCTTGAGAATATAAAAAAATTGGGCTGTTTTACAGTGTCATTTGAAAAGACGATATGGACAAAAATCGCCCCCAGTGTTGGATGGCCATTCAGTATGCTACAATATGAACCTGGCATGTTGTTTATCGAAACTCTCACATTTAACACGTTACAACTGCGTCTTTTGGGCATACATCCGCCTCTCCCTACACGTCTAGGCTGTTTAAACAAAGCATCACAGCATGTGTTGCAACTGTTCATATGGGAATGGGATAAGACGTGTTTTGCAACGCTCTGACATCAGTACAAAAGAATCACACTTAAAAATTTTTTAATTCACACATTAATTTAATTTAACACGTAGAAAATGTATAAAATTCAGGATATAATCTTCTAAACGCCTAAGTATTTCATCCGTCTAAAATTATTGCTTTTGTAACAGTTTAAAATGCCTGTTTCTTTTAGGAAAACCTTAGGTTACAAAAGTTCATATTTTTGCATTGTAAAGTTCTTCTTTTACCTCTTTAGCTCCTGAATAAGAAGTAACATGTTTCAATAAATTTTTTCATGAAATAAATAAATAACTCTTAAAGTTGAAGTTTTCTGTACAAAATGTAAACAGCATGAATCGCCAGAGACACATTTCTCAAGTAAAGTAATTCAGTTTGTTAAATAATATTTAAACAAACTTCGACTAAGTAAGGATAAAAATTTAATCATTGTAGAAAAATGAATTGAAAAATTGCAGTCAAATAGCATTAACATTACTTTTGATAATATTTTACTTTGGATTCAAACTCAGTTTTTAAAAGAAACAATTTTTTCTCTCCTTTGTTGAATTATAGCATCTATCTGGATCCGCGGAATAACACCTAGACTTGAAGTGCTGCCATCTATCGAATGAAACAGTAAATAAATTGAAACTGAATCTTAAAATCCCATTATAACAGTATATCGTCTTTCTAATATTTGCATGTCGTGAGTCGAATACTAGTTCACATGCATAATATTATTTCTACACCACATATTTTCAACTACGTTCTCAGTGGTGATGTCCATGATGATGATGTCCATGATGATGGTGATGGTGATTATTCACAACAATCACTTCTTTCTTGTGATGAACTCTGAAAAAAACAAAAGTTACCTTCTTTAAGAAAATGTTAGTTGTTAAATACGTTAAAAATATACTCAAAATATTTTTCAGTTCATTTTAGAAAATCAGTTATTAGTCTATATGCTATAAAAATGTGATAGTTTTTAAAAAATTTAAAAATAGAATTAATTTTATGTATAATTTAACTACAGTCAGTGTCAATTCTAAAGCTTTACTTTCAGCTTATCTTCAAACACCATAATTTTCAGTATTTCTCGGATGACCAGAGCGTTTGTATACATAGATTTTTCGAAGGTTTTAATTTGTTTGCTTGTCCATTCATAGTTTTACATTTTCATTTTATCATGGCATACGTTCTTAGGTAATAATTGGGTGTTATATAAGCCTATTTAAAACTTATTAAAATATTATAAAGCATTTAATTATAAATAATAAGAAAAACTGCTCTTTTACATGCATTTTGTGATAACGTTTTAGAACATAAAATTCAGTGTTCGATAGGATATCTTTAGGGGGGAAGAAATCATAATCCCAGATATCATGCTTTAAAACTTAATTTTAAATAAAATGAGTTCTCAGATATACAGTAAGACCTCGCTTAACGCTGTTTCGTTTAGCGCTGTTTCGGTTTAGCGCTCTTTTATTTTAACCTGGGGATTCCACGAAATCGCTCGCAGCATACGGGGATTCCCCGAAATATTATGCAGCGATAGGTTTCAAATACATATCCGAAAAAGTGTACTTGTATTTCTTGTTTGGTGCGGTATTGTACAGACATATTTTGAAGGGGTAAATGTGGAAAATGTCGAAGAAATAATTCAAGAAGCAGCGGCTAGTCTTTCTAATGATGAGCTCAAGGAATTAACTGAACAAGAAGAAAAAAATGTTGACAGCATGATTCAGAAGAAGAGAAAAAGAACTTTCGATGGCGTTTGTAAAGAGGAGTTTGTCTACCATAACTGAAATAATGGATCAATTCATTGAAAATGGTCCGACTTTTGACAGGAGCTCAAAAGTAAGGTGTGGTGTTAGAGATGCTCTATCCGTTTATGAAGAACTTTTAAGAGAACAACGCAAAGAAAAAGGCAAACAACATTAGATGCTTTTGTCACAAAAAGGCAGAACACTGAAAACGCGGAAGGCTAACTAAATATGACTGAGAATTTTATTTGTTTTTTAAGAATATTCGTTTTGTTATTTATATTTTGTTTTTTTTTTTTTTGCAAGAAATAATAATGTGGTATTAATTTGGGCTTTAAGAAATAAATGTTTGGTTTTATTTTTATTAAAAAAACATACTTTTTAAATTTAATACCTAACCAATTTCCTAGCCATCTTCCCCTAACCCCAATATTTACATGTAAAGATAGCCTCGTTTGGCGCTGTTTCGCATTACGCTCTACTTTGATGGAAATACTAAGACGTATTGTAATATTTACATTTCGCTCACTATATACGTAGTGTCAAAAGGCTAATCTTCGAGTTAATAGTCTCTATACAGAATATACGTTTTAGTCCAAAAGTATTGGTCTCTGTATCCCGAAGTGTGGGAGTTCCACGCACACGCGAACATAGCTTAAGTAAGCTTCCTGTTCTCATTCAGGATTACTAGATGTTTCCCAAGAATGTTTGTAGATGTTTCCCAAGAAGGAATAGCAGTCATTTTCGCATATTTAATTCACTTGTCTAAATTTTTCTTAAAAAATCTTCGAAAGGATTTAAATTGTTTAATGAATCAAAATTTACACCATGAATGGAAAAGGATTCTTTTGCTGCAGAAACTTATATGCACTTCGTGATAACGTTTTAGAACATAAAATTCAGTGTTCGATAGCATATCTTTCGGGGAGGATCATAGTCCCAGATATCATGTTTTAGAACTTAATTTTGTTTAAATAAAATGAATTCTAAGATATATTATTACTGAACATTTTCGCATATTTAATTCACTTGTCTAAATTTTTATTAAAAAATCTTCGAAAGGATTTAAATTATTTAATGTATTAAAATTGGATGGAAAAGGATTCTTTGCTGTAGAATCTTATTAATTTTCTGAATCTTGGAATTGCATCAAGTGTACTATACTATACTTTGTGTACTAGTACCTAGTATACTATGTCTTCTATAATAGTACCTAGTGTACTATACTAGTAGTACCTAGTATCGTGCCCTCATATCTAATAGCATTATACCTATCGTACTAGGTTGTTATATCCTTGAACTGTACCTAGTGTACTAACTTACTGTGTATTTTAATTCTCCCTAGTATAATATGAGTACTATAGTACTACTAGCACTATGAATAATATGAGGATTATAGTATCATGAGTACTGTAAGTAATATGAGTACTTGGGAATTTTATTAAGTAAAAAGAGTTTTAAACAGTTTATGAAATACATAAAATCATCATCATCTTTAAGAATAAAAAATTATAGCAAAATGTTCTTTAATGATAAAAATGTTTCAAAATGTTTTGCAGGTAGTTTTTAGCTCAGAAGGGAAACAAGTCTCAAAACTGGATATTGCTTCGAATCACTTTAAATGCCCGAATCACTTTTCGAACTATTGCCATCAAATATTATCGCCCTGTATTACATTTAAAGAAACTAAATAATGAAGAATCTACATGAATATATGAATGTTTCTGTTGTGAAAACACAACGGTCCCTAGAGTAGTTAAAATGTGAATAACACAGTTTTCCGCCCGAATTTGGAATTTTGTTTATTGTCTGTTTCATATTTTCTAAAGCTTTACCGAATTTTTAATTAAAACGAACTCAACAATTTCAAAGCGAGTAGTGGCAACAACGTAGGGTAATGAAACACTTTTATCTCCAGCGCGCGAAACTGTCTATCGGAAATTCAAAAGATATGCTGTTTTTAAGTATTTTTAGCACAATGTGACGTTAGCCCAAATGTTCCTGAAACGTATATATGTCAGCAAATGAAAAAAAACGTCTGTTTAAGCGTAATATGAAATCTGAAAACTTTCAGAATTTTTTTTTGGGGGGGGAGTGTTGTTTTGCTTTGTTTCATTGCTGCTTTTCCCATTTCGTCTTTCTTTTAAAATAATCTCAAATTCCATTGTTTAAATTTATTAACGAAAGAAAAACTAGTTTCATATTTTTTTCACTCAGTTGTTGTTATTTAATTTATTAAAAAATGCTTCGTAACATTAATTATTACAAATAATGTTTAATTATCAAATTTCTCAAAATGTGTTGTTATAAGAATTTACTTTATTCTAAACAGTTACTTTTAGTTGAACTTTGCTGTTTCTCCTGGTTTCAGTTTCCTGCCGAAATGTAAATTTTGTATGACATAGATGTAAATTTTAAAAGTGTTTCAGAATCAGTACTTAAGCTGCGTTTCAAAGATTAAAATTAGCTCTCTATTTCAGTGTTTGACACCTTTCAGTTTATAATGATAATCCTCGGTTCGTTTTTGCTGTGTGCAGTTGATTTAGCGTTAGTTTAAGCTAAGGAGCCAGTCGTTAGAATTCATAATTTACTAGTGATTTGTTACATTCTCACTTTCTGTTACGTAGCCACAAACGGTGGTGATTTGTGAGCATCTGTTTGAATTTAGATTTAATAAAAAGGTTATTCAAACCGTTCCTCTGCAGTATTTCGTTCTTAAAAACATTACAAGAATTCGCTCTTAGTCTTCCACGTAAAGTTTAAGAGTAATATGAGTACTTGGGAATTTTATTAAATAAAAAGAGTTTTAAAGCGTACACTCAAACCCTATAACATGACTTCCAAATTATTTCATAGTGTAAAGGTTTACTATGAACATACAGCCGGGAAGAAGAGGACTTCTTCTTAGAGTGTCATACATTTTTCAGAAAAGCTTTTAAATCAAAATAATCAATTAAATTTATATACTAAATTGCAAGTTAATACCTTTATACAATACGTATTAAATGCTAGTTGATAACCATTATTTGTTAAAAGGCGTTATAAGTAATAGCTTTAAAATGAAGAGGATATGAAGCTCGATTGCAACGCTCTGTGAGTCTCAAAATGTTTCAAGCACAACTACCTTAAAATTATTGTATGACTGAACAAAATATTTCTGGATCGCTTACTGGAAAGTATTTTCACGGATGGATTCGAAGTTGCTGCTGCAACATCATTTCTAAAGCATTCCTCTTTTAAGAATAATTTAAACTTTGTGATACGTTAGATGCTTTGATGAGGAAGAAACTGTATGAGTTATAGCATTTACTTTTCCTAGGTAATTGCTTACAAGATTAGATAAACGTTTTGACAGTTAAATAACAAGTATTAATTTGTAAACCCAGAATTGGCAGTATTGGAGTGAAACTGTAAGGCAGCGTTCAAACGGCGACGTAAATGTCACAGAGGCATAATCACAAGGAATAACATGCGGGAATTCCGTTCACACCTGCGACACAGAGTCTAAACCGCACCCGCTTAGAGAAGCTAAATTTTCCAGCTCCGGTTTTCCGTTCAGGTTTCACGCGCTCGTTCTGACTGGTCGACGCTTATCCCATCGGCATAAAGTTTAAAACTTCGAACTTTATTCCAAGAGCCCGAAACCAGATTTTGTGACGTAGCACAGACTGGTTTCCTGGCAACGCAGCTCGGCCTAACACTTTCCGCCACGCTACCTTTTAAAGTTGGAGTTTTGATTTTAAAAAAAAAAAGTAGGCAGTCTAATTAGACCTAGAGGAGTACACAAGTAAAATTTTGTGAAGATAGTACTTATCGTTTTAATTCTGTGGGTGTGCCCAAAGTGGGCACACTGATTGAATAGAGCTTCGAAAAGAATGCTGAAACGAGCATTGTTGTCAATGAACTGACCGTTGAGACGCGAAGAAACAAAGAATACAGACGCTCAGTTGTCCTAGATGATCGGTGAACCCGGTCTGGGCACACCTAGGGTTCGCCGTTTGATTTTAGGCAAGATTTCAAGGTAAAAATTTAAAACTAATATAGAATAAGGAGATTAGCATAAAGCCAAAAAAAATAACATAGAAATTT